ATGAAGGGGCACACCGCCCGCTCCCGGAGGATTCCGACTGAGTACCTTACTTCAACCACCAATGTTGGAATCGGTCCAATATGCCACCTATGTGGTGAAATAGGATATTTCAAGAGGGACTGTCCAACAGAGAAGAATAACGGGGGAGCAGGAGGAGTTTGACCCCAGAGTATGGGGAGGCATCAAAGAACCCTGCTATATTTTTGGTACGCTTCCAAACCCCAATAATTAATCATAATTATACTTACTCTCTCGTTCGAACCAAATCACAACACTCATATAAAACTAGGAACCCTAACAGGTAAAGCTATGATGGCTTAGTGTATACATTAGGGTCATTTATAATTAAGATTTGTAGACTTAGAGTGAGTGATTTCGCCTTATTTCCTGTTCCTTGTTTGGTTGTGGATTTAGGGCAGGGTCACTCAGTCAACTGTCTTTCCGATCTTAATTATACATGACTTGTATACACCAAGCGATTATAGAGAGACCTAGTAGGGATCATTTCATGAAAGTTCATTATTTCAAATTATTAGAACCCTCGTATTGTTAGTGCTTGTTAATTTTGGAGCAAAAAGTTCGCGGTAATAATATCAAGGACAAAACGAAAGCACTGAAAACATATGTGCATAAAATAGCACATCGTCCTGATAATCTTTTCTTCCAAATCGAATTAATATTTATTACGTCGAGAAGTTCCGACATCATCATCCTACATGGTTTGGTTTGGTCCTCACCATACCAACTTCTTATGCTGTGTAAAAGAACTTTTCCCTTAATCAACCGTCAAATGAATTTTTTTTTAATCTATAACGGCAAACCTAATACGAACCCTTGTATCAGCTATCGCTTCGAAACTTTAGAAGTACCCATGCAAGGGGTACCATGCCCTCCTAGCCTACTCAGTAGATAGGAAACTTGAAGCGAAAAGCACCAGAGAAGTCTCATAAGTCGGTAACCACCCTAAGTATCCCCAATAGATCTCATAGGGAGATCACTTGTGCCACAAGGCAAGATCAAGAATAGAGATTAAGAACTCATGGGTTAATCCATCGCTGCTAAGTGTATACGCGAGAGTGGTATATAATTTAGACTCAACAAGATTTAGGATGTGTGATTCCGCCCTATTTCCTGTTCCTTGTCTGGTTGTGGACTTGGGGAAGAGCCACCCATCTGAACGTCTTGTCAATCTTAATTATATACAACTTGTATACACGAGGTGATGATGGACGAGCCAAGTATGAGTCTTATCACGAACTTCATAGCAAAAGCTCGCAGGCTTACTACAACAACCGGAGATACCTGAGTGGAAGTGGTAGCGGATTGCAATGGGCTTCATAATCAAGTTACCCAAGGAAACAGGTGGACTTGATACCATTTTGGGTGATCGTCGACAGATTACCCAAGTCCGCGCACTTCCTGCAAATTAAAGAGACATGCAAGATAGAGAAGCTAACTAGGACGTGTGTCCGAGAGGTTAGTTAGACTGCACGGTGTCCCAATGTCTGTTATCTCCGTTCGAGATAGTAGAATAACCTCACGATTTAGGCAGTCACTTCAGAAATCTCTTAGGACTAGGCTAGACATGGAATAACCTACTGTCCACAAACCGACAGACAGAGTGAGAGAACCATTCAAACATTAGAAGTCATGCTGAGAGCATATATGATCGACTTTGGTAAAGCATGGGATACCCATTTGCCAATTAGTCGAGTTCCTTTACCATACTAGCATTTAAAGTTGCTCCATTCGAAATTCTTACTAGATTTGATCCAGTAGCTATAGACCCCGACTACCTCAAAAATTCAATAAAATACACCCTACCTTCCACGTCTTTATCTTGAAAAGTGTTTGTACAATGAGACTTTTGTTTTCCCACTCAATTAGATCGAGGTAAACGAGAGCCTCAACTTTGTGGAAGAATCCGTAAAAATCCTAGACAGTGAAGTCGATAGCACTAATCAAATCCCTATCCCAATAGTGAGGGTCCGCTTAAGTGCATAGTGAGGACCCAAATTCACTTGGGAGCGTGAGGATCATTAGAAACATAAGTATCCACCTCTTTTCCTGTAGTCCATGTGTATACCTAAGACTTAATTTCGGGACAAAATTCCCTTTAACGGGGGGATGATGTGACAACCCGAAAATTTTATTCTTGTAAAAGTCAATAAAAGTCAAACATATCGTGTAAAGGTGAAACTCATTTTCTTATTTTATATGGCTAGATTAATGGGTTTTAAGTGTATAAACCTTGTACCAAAGGTGTTGGATGTTTAAGAAGTGAAACATGTTGAAACCGATAACCCTCGCATCTTTTCCTTCTTTTCTCTTTACCTCGGACCGCACACACTTCGGGCGCAAACGGTTCACGACCGTGAACTCCCTTTGCAGCCGTGAACCCTCGCATGACCGTAAACCCTTCTCGGCCGTGAACCCGAGGATCTTATCTCCTCGAGATGTGTTTACTGCCGAAGACTCTTAAGTATATATACAAATGTGACTGATTTTTTCCCTCATTTCACACACCCCAACCGCAAACACTCTCATTATCTCTCAAGTATCAAGGGCCGAAAACCCTCTTCTCTCCTCAAGATCATAAGAAACACCTTCCTTCTTGTAGTTCATATGGATCTCTCTTGATTTCAACCTTGATTCATCATCATTTTTCAAGAACACCAAGTGTTCTTGGGGCGTGAACACCCAGATAGGCTGTGAACTCAAGAACACCAAGTGTTCTTGGGCCGTGAACACCCAGATGGGTCGTGAACCCATCAAGCTGGCCGTGAACCCCTTTTTACTGATTTAATTGTTGGCTTAGACACCTAATCCAACAGTATCCCACTTGGATAAGTCTAAAACTAAACTACAAGTATAACTTTGAAATCAAACAGCAAAGTGTGCTTTCCAAAGCAACTGTCGAACTCTGATCCGACCAGATATTGGTCCTTAGATAAGTGATCAAATATTCCTCCGTTCTTCAAGATATCATACGGACATGAGACATGGATCATAATTAATCTCATTATCCAAACTTTGTTTCCCTATTTCAGATTTGTGATGACATCATAAGACTTCTAACCGAACACATCAATTTAGTCATGGTTGGGCCCAACACTATAAGTCAACACCAAACCAAGGGACCCAAAGATATCGCTTTTCCCGTCAGGAAAAAGGAACGAATAAAGTTTGACTCATATGTTTGTATCCTTTACTCACCAAATTCTACATGACACTACGTTTTTTAACATCAAGTTACTAATACGTTTTTGCAATACCAATGTACAACCGACTTGTAAATTACAACTCATATATCTCCATTTTAATAATATAAGATATTATCGTCTCAGAATTACTCGTGATATAATCCATGAAGTAATTCTTTGAGCGTGGGTTTATCCAATACTCAAATATCCATTTTCTAAGTATTCATGAACGTTGTAGCAATACAATTGTTATGTCTAAGCTCCTTAGACAATCTACAATCCAATTCATGATAGTCTTCATTCACTAATTACTTCCTGAAGTATGAGCGACTGTGGAGCTTCAAATAATCAAATTATTCAGGAAGTAAAACATGCAAAACGAAACACAAGAATAAATAATTGAAAAATGCAGTAAAAAAACTCATAAATAATCTCTATTATTCAATCACCAAAATCAATTACATTTATTATGTTACAAGTTTCAAACTAATTATCTAACTACTAAAACCAATGTCATCTCCTAAACCAATGCTCCTAGCATGTTGTGTAACATCCCCAAAAGGAGGTATAACTTCTCAGACCTTAACCTTTTATATATATGTTAAGATTGGTCCTTATATTGAAAAAGGTGGCATTCGAGTACGCGGGACGTACGCATGAGTACGCGATTTTCCAGGTCGGTCGAATAGCGAATAGCAGGTACTTAGCGAGTACCCGGGGAGTACTCGAATTGAGTAAATTATAAAGAAATAAATTTTGAGAAAATTATATATAACAAATATCATAAGTTTATTAAATATTATAGCAAAATAGATGAATATCAATAACAATTATAGTTTTTTATTAAAAAAATATAAAAATTCCAATTTTGAATTATTTGACCGAGTTTTTCGAGTTTGAACGTTTTTTTCCGAGTTTTCTGAGTTGGCCGAGTTGGAAAAGGACAGGTGAGGTGGTTGAGAGGCGTGTGTATCCAGGTCGGTCGAATAGCGAATAGCAGGTACTTAGCGAGTACCCGGAGAGTACTCGAATTGAGTAAATTATAAAGAAATAAATTTTGAGAAAATTATATATAACAAATATCATAAGTTTATTAAATATTATAGCAAAATAGATGAATATCAATAACAATTATAGTTTTTTTATTAAAAAAATATAAAAATTCCAATTTTGAATTATTTGACCAAGTTTTTCGAGTTTGACCGATTTTTTCGGAGTTTTCTGAGTTGGCCGAGTTGGAACGAGTTTCTCCGAGTTTGACCAATTTTCTCCGAGTTGGACCCAAATTTGACCGATTCCGGATTTTTTTTCCCCGATTATTAGATAACCGCATCGGCATATACCTGATTCCGAGTTTTTGCCTGATTCTTAGATAAACTAATAATACAAATATATAATACAAAATTTGAAAACAGATAGGGTGTAATTTAAAACTATTTTAGTGCGTGAATGTGTTTATAATAAAAAAAAGGCTGAAAACATATAATTTAAAACTATTTATATAAAATATGGTATAATCGGAGATATTTTTAGAAATTAAGGTGCTAATAAAAGATATTAAAAACGAAAGTTTAAATTGGGTGTCAATTCATTATTATATATATATTAAAGTTGTGAAGAATAGTAACAATAAATATGCATCTTATTTGTCTCTTTTGGTCCCTGTACTTGCATTTGTTAGGGTTGGCAGAATTGATCTATAAGTTTAGATATTTTCATTTTCTACCCTGATCTGTTCCTATGGGTTGAATTTTACCCGACCACAGTTACTGTTTATGGGTTACCACATCAGTTACGATGTCGGTAGTGGACCTTGCGACGTGTCCTCCACCCACGATGGACCGACTCAAACTTCCAATACCATTGCTCCAGCTACCCATCTCCTTCCTTTTACCGTTTCATCCCTATCTTCTACTCTCCACCGCCTTTTCACCTAATATCGATGTCTCCGCCGCTAACTTCCCACATATGGTCATTTTTTTTCGCTTTCCCCTCTTTCATGCTTTCTAGATATTTCTCCTTTCTCATCCTTAATATTGATCTCGACCTCTCTGTATCGTCACCCCTATCATCGGTCGGACCTGCTTAAGTGAGGAAATGGTGGCTTTTTCCCTTTTGTTTCTTCTACATCCTCTACTTTCGATTCTTCACAACTTCTGACGCTATTTGGAATTTGTGTTTTCCCTATTCAATTGAAGTTTCAAACGGGTATGAGGTTGTTTATAGGCGACGTAGCAACATCCTGATAAGCCCTAATTTTTAGCAATCGGTTTACCAAGGTCCTGGTGGAAGTGGAGTGTCGCATGTTGAGGATTCAAGTGAGCTTAAGAACGGATTTGCTCCACTGAATCAGGTTTGTTCGATGTTTACCACCGCTATTTTATGCTTCTCACCGGAAACAGAAGGCGGTGATTATCTCAATTCCTTTCAATTGCTCCCCGATTATATGCTTTGTTGCCGAATATATGGCCTCCACAAACCCTACGCACACTCCATCGTTATGGATTCAACTTCACCCAGTCAAGTATACTTATAGTTGTTGATTTCATATTTCACAGATTTTTTGTTTGTTTCGTTTCGTTGCAGATTTAATGAAGATTTCAACACTTCAAACTTCTGTTTGTAAGTTTTTTTTTTTTGAATATTCTTTTGCGCTTTTTATTTATTATTGTTCTATAGTTGTAAATTTTGTTCTCTAATAGTAAATTACCTTTCAGTAAACCCAGACAACAAAGCTTACTTCAAATCAAGATTTAGAGTGGTATCAGCCACTTGGTCAGGTGTGTGGAATCTGTCGTACAGGAGACTAGAGGAAGGGAAACAATAGCCGGTACTCTGTAGGAGATTATGTGGGTTCGATTTCATTTCCAGGAAGAGGAATGAACAAAAACCCATTCATTAGAATCAAGAAGCACAAGGATTTGGAGGTAATTCCAATTCCAGTATAATTACAATCGTTGTACTTGGTTGAATTTTCGTGTATGTTAGGCTTTTCATAAACTTAGTTTTTTTTGTTAGATTTGTTGGCAACTTTCAGTGCCAGCCTTCTTGCAATCAACACCTTTGATTTATTTGACCATTTGATTTTGTTTACTCTAACATTAACATCTTTTGGCAGCCTCACTATCAGCCTTCTTCCAGTCTTCTGTTACAGGTTTGAAGTGTAGTTCTGGTCAAACAAATGCCTTGGAAAGAAGGGGCAGTTTTGGTAATTTGTTTTATCATGGTGTTTCAGGTTTCTTTGTGCTCTTGATTCAACAGACAATATCTACACATTTTTGCGTGGAATGAATCTTACAAGTGGAGAATTCAGTATCATATGAATTTTTAGCGTTGGAGAAATTGATAGTTGCATGGGCTGTCGGTCTTAGTCTTAAGTTGAACAGGATGGGAAGATGGATGGTGCTGTTGAGACCTGTTGTATAATCTCTTTCAATTTAGCAATGTACATTCTTTTTTTTATTCTTTTTTTATAGCATACTGCAACGCTTTGATATCTTTTCTTATTAACACATTGTCCTGTGGAAATTCTATCCAATTATTGGATTGTATTTTCTTATTATAACATTTACACGTTTGTAAATGGACAAATCTCCTACAATGGCAACGTACTTTATTGTGGCTAACAACTTAGGCAATGTACTTTACTTTGACGCAAAAGCAACACCTTCCGCCTCCCGCAACGCGGGGGGAAACTCTCTAGTTTATTTTAATATAAAATAAAAAGATGTTATTATATATATATAATAAACTAAAGGGGAAAATTGTGAACATATAAGGCCGGAAGGAATGGAAGCGGGAAGCTTCCCTCTCACTGGAACACCATACCGTGGGTGAGGGAAGCAACCCGCGGGAAAGAGGTGGGGGAGGGGGTGCCGCACTTTCTCTCCTCATTCTATTGGCCAGTTTTTTTTTAATCTTTTTTAATATTTATAAAAGTATATACCTACTAAAAAAATATAAAATATATATTAAAATTCATGTTTTTTAATTCCCTACAAAATGAGTATAATATATGTATGAAATATATTTTAAAAAAGGAATAAAAAAATAGTGAGGGGAGCTTCTCACCCATTCCTTGGGTTTTTAAGTGAGGGAAAGGAAAGTGAGGGAAATGGTGGTGTGGCCCACAAAAAGTTAGGGAAAAACTTCTCACCTATACCCTCCGGTCTAACATAATATGCTAATATCCGTAAAATATATTTAAAAATAATATAAAATAGTCAACGTGTCAAATCAATAGGTTAATTATGTAAGTTTTTGCTGCGGATAAAACCCCCAATAAAAACGAGAATTAGTCGATAACAAAAGCCTATCTTCACGATCTGTCACCGAATTTCTCTCCCTCTCTCTGTCCTGTTGTTTCGACACACACACTTTTTCTCTCATTGTTGCTTTTCTCTCTTCTTTGAATAAACCCAAACCCAAAACCTAAACCCAATTTGAATCCCCAAAAAAGGTTAAAGATACAGCAAAAAAAATCCTCGTCTTGAGAAGAAGATCTAGCTTCGACTCACCATGAACGATCTTTTATCTGTTAGTTTCTCTTCAGAAATTCTATCCTTTTTTATTTCTTAGTGATGAGACATTCGAATTATTGAGCAACAAAAGCTGCATTGTTCACATCTTATAAAGATTCTTAGTATCTTCTTCAAGTCTTAGATTAATTTTAGATCTTGTTTCCAGTTTGATATCTATCGGTGACAAATGTTGGTGTTTAAGCTTGTAATCAACTGGAATCTATGAATTCATCTACGCGCTCGAGTCACATCATCTCTGTAATAATTTGTCTGATTGAAAATTTGAACCTATTTCACCTCTGAATCTAAACAAAAAAGAAAAAAAAACTATTTTTCAAACTTCTATCAGCTGATTTTTCGGTACTAATAGGCATAGGAAATACAAATTGATCTTCGAGTTTATTTTCTTCGTTTTCTTTCACCTGCGATCCTCTGACTTTGGATGTCAGACTTGTGTTACCTAATCTTCATTTAGTATATATCAATGTATACTTATAACACCTGTCCTTTCTATTAATGTGTTGAAACATACTTATCGAATAATGTCTTTTAGGAGTCATTTGAGAATCCTCGGGGTCAAGGTTATGGCCATGGAGATCTTGAAATGGGAACACAAAATAACTCGAATTCTGCAGAGTTAGGGTTGGATGGTTTTTTCAAGAAGGTGTGTTGTCTACTTATACCCTTTTGGTCCTACATGTCTAATGTCCTTATGTAAATCATAAAACTTATTGCATACTTCTTTTTTCTAGGTTCAATCCATCGAAAAACAATATGAAAAGCTGAATAAATTACTCAGAAAACTACAAGATGCTCATGAGGAATCCAAGGCTGTAACCAAAGTTGCTGCTATGAAAGGTTGTTCCTATTTGTATATGAATCATGAGTTCATGACCATTCGCTAATGTAAACAAGATATCATTCTTTTCAATTATTGATATGGAATTTAATTTAATTAAATGTTTGTTATTTTGCAGCATGGAGAAAGATGTGGATGAAGTTGGAAAGGTTGCCAGGTTTATTAAATTGAGGAACTTGACAAGGAGGTTAGTTTAATTTTTACAAACAACTTTTTGTTATTATTTATTCGATAAATTCCTACTTTTTGTTAATATAAAGTTCAATAATTCCTACTTTTTGTTATTTACTAGAACTTGGCCAACAGACAGAAGCCTGGATGTGGAAAGGGAACTGGAGTTGACCGGTCAAGAACAACAACTACACTGTAAGTTCTTAGTTCTTACTCTCTACCCCAATTTTAATAAATAAATAAAAAAATTAGATATTTATGTTTACTTTGATCTTTGTTTGCAGTTCTTTAAAGAAAAAGTTTAAAGACAAAATGTCTGAATTTCAGGTATTGCAAAATGCTAATGCATCCATATTCTTTTATATCATTATATGGTTAATGGTTTTACTCAAATAATTTTGGCTAAAATGGATGTTTTTTACTTTTTAGGCTCTAAGGGAAAGTATTCATCAAGAACATCGTGAGGTGGTTGAGAGGCGTGTGTATACAGGTTCTACACTTAACTTAAAAATCATATACTTGGAAACTTAATGTGTTAATTTATGATTTATCCATCTAATTTTCTCTTTTTTATGAATATTTTCAGTAACGGGAACCAGGGCCGATGAAGAGGTGACGTTTTTTTTATAAAATTTTCAAGCCAATATTTTTTTTTATAACTTTTATAAGCACATGTTCATTTTATATGTAAGGGTGCAAAGTCACTCTTGGATGTCATGAGGGCTTACTCCTTTGTGTGTGAATAATGAGTTGTCTTTCCTTTATAAGGAAGTGAGTGACACTCATTTTATCTAATGAACATTTTGAGAGATTAGTTTAGAGAGAGAAAATTGCAAACCCATTTTGTAGTCTTTCTATAAAACTAATGAGAGCTTAAAAGAATTATTTAGATCTTGTGTTCATGTTCTTGATTTTACTTGATGATTCACTAAATCATTCTTAATTCCGCACATGCCATCATAATCAACACCACTACAATTGGTATCAGAGCGGGTGTTCTTGATTGGATCAAAAATTGATCTTTGATGGCTATCTTGATTTGGTGATTCTTCATGTTCTTATTGCTCTTCGTGATTAAAGAGTGTTGTGTGTTCTAGAAGTTGAATTTTTCTTTGATTTGATCCATAATTCGACTTTCTCTCTCTAGAATACTTGTTTGTACCACTTTATCTCACTAGAATTTGGTTCATATTCACTTTCTCTCTCTAGAAATCTTCAAGTTTTTGTGATCATGGTGAATTTGCCGTATAATTCTTGGATTGTGATCGTTGAAGATGTCAAATACAAAGTCAATAAAGATCAATATTATGGGTTGGTGTTAAACAAGTGGATATATTGGGGAACTATGGTTTCTTATGGAGGATTGAAGGATGATCATGAAAGCTTGATATTTCAACCACTTTGTGAGATCAAATGGTTGGCTGATATTACATGGTCCATATCAACACGTAGTAGTGATAAGAATGGAGAAGAAAAATATTTGTTCAAAAAGAAATATGTTTCTCTTATTGAAGACCCAAATGATCTTCGTGCTCTTAAGTTTGTTGAAGTTCAAGACAATGGAGTTCAATGTGATGTTCTTGATGTTCTTGAAGTTCATGATAAGAAGATTCAAGTTGATTCTGATAATGAAAAAGTTTTTTGCTCGATTGGAGTTCAAACTGATGATATTTTGTGTTCTTGTGATTCGTTTGAAGGAATGATTCCTTATCGGAAACCGGTGATGCAAGAAATTCACAAGTATCAAAGTCCAAAATAGTTGATTCAAACTCAAGAAGTTGTGGAAAGTGGGTTTGTTCATGGAGTCAAGTCTTCAAGATGCAAAAAAATGAGAAAGAAAAAGAAGAAGAAGATTAAAAGGAAGAACAAGCGGGTTTATTCACAAAAATCGTCAAATGTTGTTGTGAAATCGAAATCCGTGAAGCAAATTTGGGTTCCAAAGCAACAATCTCTAAATGTTGCATTGAATTTGAAGTCAAAACCCAAATGTGTTGGTGGTTCTTTTGAAGATGTTCTTGGATCGTTGAAGAACACGAAGAACACGAAGAACGAGTTGTACATCACGCATAGTGGATGGTACAATGTTCAAATTGGAGATTTTCTCGTTCCGACAAAAAACCAAGATCTTCTAAATTTGAATCGTTCATTGCAAATGGATCTCGATTCGTCAAAAAGGTATCTCAAATTCTCAAATGGATTCCAAAACATCCATGATTTCGATTCGTACTTTGCATTTTTCATTTTTGATCGGTTTGTTTCGTTGGATCTAATCCGCATTTACCCCACAATGATCCAACAAAAAAAAATTTAGATCAAGCCCAAACAATTTATGATTTGTTTGATCCAAAATTCGAGCCCAAAGTTTTTTTTTATTACTGTTCACAGATCCAGGTCTTTAGCCCAAATCATTTGAATATTGTTACTGTTCATCTTTAATTCAATCAGCCCAATCCACAATCCATTTGTAAATATCGGTGTTTGATACATCAATTTCATTCCAAATCAAAGAAGTCGAATGTATGTTTCATGAATCAAACAATTTGACAAAATCAACTTGTAGTTGACTTTTTGGAGTCAACATTAGTTTGATTGATCTCGTTCTTTCATATCTGGTATGAATTTAGACTTGATTTCAACGGGTTGATGATCATTATGAGAAATCGATTTCGACAGTATGTTGATCGATGGTTTGGTATCGATATTGAGGGTTGTTTGTTTTTGGATCGATGTCGATGGTCACCTGTTGGATTTTGGGTTTAATGTCGATGACTATTTGGTGTGTTCGAAGATCTGGAATTAAGCTTAGGAGTCGATTTCAAATGGGAAAGTTGTACGATCGAAGACTTTGTGAATAGAAGGATATGTAAAAGTTTTCATGTCGATCTCGACTGTAATTGGGTTTGATAGTCAAAGGAATTTGGAAAAGTCAAAATCAGTTTGAAGTTCCGACTGGTGTTCGAATTCTTTGAGTCCGATGGTTCGTTGTTTGCATCTGATATCAAAGTCGATCGCTTGATAACGAGGTGAAAAATCGAAGATTTAAGGTTGTTGCTTGTAATCTGATTTCGAAGGCCACAGATTTAGACTCGCATATCGGAATTTGAAGCAATTTTGAGTTTGATGAAGAAATCGGTTCTAAGGTCTGTTAAAGTCACAATCGGAATCGATTTTGGGGTTAGATTTCGAAGGTATTTGATTTGGATTTGAAGTCGATTGATCAAATGGCGAGTATTGAAATGTAATCGACTGGGAAAAGCGAAAATGTGAACTCAAGTGAAGGATGTCGATTGGTGATCGATGTTGAAATCGTGAATGGATTTTGATGTTGATGATTCCAAGTTTGATTTCGAAGATCATCGACATGATGAATTTGATTTCAATGTGCGAAGGGTCTAGTAATATGGAACGGGATGTCAAGAATCGATGGTTGATTGATTTTTATTTCGAAGAATTGTTAATGTCGATGAATTTGGATATGATATTTCGAAGGGTTAAATGATCGATTTGGGTTTACTGGATGTAATTTCGAAGGGATGAATGATTTTAGGTGTCGATTTTGGTTGCTATCAGTTAAATGGTCTATGGTAATTGTTTTGGTATGAACTCTAAAAACGAAGCCCTGCTGGTCGCTATGTAAAGGGGGTGTTTGACGTTGATATGCTAAGCATGAGTTTTAAAGGATTCGTTATTGATGTGTCAAATTAAAAGTTTGTTTTGATGTCCAGTAACGAATCGTTGGTGTCAAGGATTAGATGGGTTTGTTAAAGAAGCCTTGATTTTGAGGATTTGATTTGGAGTTGTTAATGAGGTTGTTAACTGAAATCGAAGACTGTACTTGGTGATTGGATGAAACTAACGAAAATAGGGAAGAAAATTAACGAAGGGTGTTACTAACGAAATTAACGAAGGGTGTTATAGATTTCTAACGAAGGGGAGAAAGAAAATGGACATATGATTTTGTTTGTACGAAGGGGTAATGAATATTAACGAAGGGTTGGAAGTCGATTTTGACTTTTATTAGTCAATCTCATCCTTCGTCCCTGTATAACGAAAATTGGGGAAGAAAACAAATATTTTCAGTTTGCACCCCTGCCCTTTTCACGAAATGACACAAATGGTCCAACTTCGACATTGGAGTAAAAAATTTGTGAAGAATGGCAGAATTTCTCATTTAGCCCCTGCAGTTTCGAAAAGTTGGCAGCAGATACCCAACTTCGAAATTGGGCTAATTTTCTGAGAAAATGAAGATTTTACAGTTCTGGTCCCTGCAGTTTGTGCGAATTTACGCTTTATGCCCAGTTTCGCAAATGGGGTAGAGTTTCGCATATTTGGCTGGTTTTGGCGCAATGGGTCCCTGCAAGATTCAGAAAGTGACAATTTCTACCCAGTTTTTGAAAAATCTTGCAACTTTCACCAAAAAAGTCAAAAATTTCATAAATTGGAAATTTTTTGTGGCTTTTTCGTGATTGTTTTTTCGTGCAAGATTTTTGGAGTTTCATTTTTGGCACATATCAAGGGGGAGTTTTGTAAAGTTCATTCCTCGAGCGCTTCTCACCCTTAATGGGTTTTATAATCATTTTTTGATTATAAAAGGGGGAGAATGATGGGTATTCGAAGCGGATCTTTCATTTGCGAATTTGAAGACCGGTGTTTACTTCGAGGGGGAGTTTGGTCTTGATCGTGCGTGCTCGTTGGAGATTGAAGCCGGACATCCAATCCTAACTTTGAGGGGGAGAATGTAAGGGTGCAAAGTCACTCTTGGATGTCATGAGGGCGTACTCCTTTGTGTGTGCATAATGAGTTGTCTTTCCTTTATAAGGAAGTGAGTGACACTCATTTTATCTAATGAACATTTTGAGATATTAGTTTAGAGAGAGAAAATTGCAAACCCATTTTGTACTCTTTCTATGAAACTAATAAGAGCTTAAAAGAATTATTTAGATCTTGTGTTCATGTTCTTGATTTTACTTGATGATTCACTAAATCATTCTTAGTTCCGCACATGCCATCATAATCAACACCACTACATTATCCCTTATTTTTCTACAGACAATCGATCAACTCATAGAGACAGGAGATAGTGAACAGATTTTTCAGAAAGCAATTCGGGAAAAAGGGCGAGGACAGGTTAGAAATAATAAATTAATAATATAAAAAATAATAATAATAAAGTTTTTGTGTATTTGATGGATTATGTGTTATTTGTATTTTGTAGATACTTGACACCCTTGCAGAGATCCAAGAACGCCATCATGCAGTAAGAGAAGTAGAAAAGAAGCTTCTTGACTTGCAACAGGTGCAGATTTATATTTTATATTATATATATATATATATATATATATATATATATATATAAAACTAGATTGTTAATTAAATATTTTATTTAATAACCATGAGGCAATTGATAAGAAGTTAAAAGTTGTGAAGGTCCATGATTTTTGTAATCATTGTACAACTGGTGACATGTTGAACTGTTCCATGATTTTACAATCATTCTACAGCTGTCTAAGAAGCACAAATGACCTCACTACCCCCAACAACTGACATGCTTAAACTTATGATAATAACAATAACTTTTCTAGAGAATATAATTCTAATCTAGATAAAAAAAATTGCCAACTTTTTTAAAAATATTTGACCTTAAAACTTACATAAACAAATGTTGACTTTGATGCAAATATTTATGGATATGGCTATATTGGTGGATGCTCAAGGGGAAATGCTAGACAATATAGAGACACAGGTAATTGACTATTTTGCCCTTCTAGCTCTTCGACCAAACAATTAAACAAATATCCATTGACATATGATGTTATATTACACATCAAAAGTCACACACCCTTGGTTGTTACTTTTATTGTTGTTCAAGTTGAATGGTGGTATATAAGTTTGGGGTGGGGGTGAAAAGACTGTTTTGACCTTTTGTAATTTTGATGGTGAATAGGTGTCAGGTGCAGTAGACCATGTGCAAGATGGGAACAAAGCTCTTTACAAAGCCAAGAGTCTACAAAAGAATTCAAGGAAGTGGATGTGCATTGCTATTTTGATTTTACTCATTATTGTTGCAGTAGTTGTAGTTGTTGTTGGTGTGCTCAAGCCATGGAAAACTAACAATGGTGCTTAGTTACATACACCCATTTAAGAGTTTGAGTGTGAGGTCTTATTATTATTATTATTATTTGAGTGTGAGGTCTTATTATTATTATTATTATTATTATTATTATTATTATTATTATATTATATTTTACCCTATTCTTGTGTAAATTGAGAGCATTTTTATTTTTTATTTTTCAAAATATTGACTTGGTGTTGTCTTTAAATGTGTTTGACTGTACTTGTTCATTTGGAATTCACATTTTCTTTAATTCATTCATTTATTCATTTTGTTTGTTTCGTGAAAGTTGTTTATATGGTGAGAGGTAATGAAAAATATGATTATGTATCCAGTTTAATAAAATTACAATTATATTAATATGTAAATTATATAGTTAACGTTTACATTGAATACAGGGACGGTTCTATTTGGGTGCCCGCAGTGGCACCGGCAACCCCTGCTTTTTCTGTATGCAATGTAAATTTTTTGATATTTTCGATTTTTTTTCTTTTTTCTATTTACCGGCAACACCTACTACCAAATCTTGCGTCCGTCCCTGATCGGAAGGAAAGTATATTGATAAAATTATAAATAATTTTTATGTGTATTTATTAAGGGAAAATATGAAAATACAGTCACTTTTTTTGTGTTTTCGTGCAAGAGTTGCATCTTTTATTCTTCAAATGAATTTTTCTGAAATCTTTTTTCAACTTATCGTTATGATTGATTATAAAATATTAATTAGAAGTTAGTTCATCAATTCCATTGTCGTCCAGCGGTTAGGATATCTGGCTTTCACCCAGGAGACCCGGGTTCGATTCCCGGCAATGGAACTTTTTTTTTTCTGCTTCGTTTTGGAAGCTATAGCGGGTCGATCAATTTGGATCCGCATCCAGATCCAAAGATATCCACTCTTAAAGGTCAAACTCGCTCAATATCTGATGAAGTTATTCAGCAACAACTCAACACTTTGGAATCTTTAATCCATGTTTTTTGCACATCGATTCGAATTCATTCAACTAAGCTTCACTTTCATCACGAAAACGATCTTGCTCAATTGTTTGGTTCCTCATAACAGGTAAAACTTATGGTGTTTTGGTAGTTGTAAGTTCTTAATCCGACTCTTCTTTTCTATTTCTAGTTGTTACTACCTCAGTTTTGGATCCCTGCTTTCCTTCATTCTGCAGCTCTGTTCACGGTTTTGCTGAGTTTAGGTTATGTTGGTGTGTGTTCTATGATTCGATTTACTTTCGTATTCCTTTTTCTCGTTTCACTTCTTCTTCCAGTAACCTAGGGCACATCAAATTCTCGCCTGTATCCATTAGATCATGTCCTGAAGAATTTCTTGATATATACATGTTTATTTGAATAAACTAAACATGTATAACAATACTATTAGTTTCTGTTTGTTTATACTTATTAAAGGCTCTGTATCTACTCGACATGCAGGCAGGCATAGGCATTCTATCATGGGTTCATCACAGATAGAGAAGGAGGGTAAAAAAGAAATCCAACAAACACAAATCGAAATTGAAGATGAATCTTTTGAGATTAAGGTACTGTTCTTTGCTCGAGCTAGAGATCTAACTGGAATGACTGATATGAAAATGGAAGTGACATCTGGTACTAGTGCTGGTGATTGCTTAGATAAACTTATTGCAAAATTTCCTGGCTTGAAAGAGCTTCGTGGATGCATGGTTCTGGCTTTGAATGAGGAATACACAACTGAATCCGCACTTGTCAAGAATAAAGATGAGTTAGCCATTATACCTCCTATAAGTGGAGGCTAGATAATAGAAATTCCATTTGTATATCCACAAATAAATTTTGATTTGCTTTTGTTTGATCATGTTTAATACAATGCTATATATTAATGATAATCTGTATTATTTACTATAACTGCTCACTTATCCTTGTAAGCAAAACTCTAAGAATTAAGGTTTCACACAAGAACTTTCCAAAAGTTGAAAACAGAAATCAAGAAATTGACTATGAATTATTTTTTTAGATAGATAATTGCAATAAATAGTAATGTACTTTCGATTATTTGTTTATTATTGCATCCTACTTTTATTCTTTGTATTAGAGCATTGTATTTTGAAAAGTCTACCAAATTATAGTAATGTCATCCGAATACAAAGTAATATCCACTATTATAATAAGAAAAACAAAGTACAATGTTGTAATAGAGAGAAATGAAAGTGGCATGCTATAATAAACATATGTATGAAATCACATTGTTATTTTTTTGCAGTTTGGGCATGTGTCTTGGTATCCAATTGTAAAATACTCCAACATATCAGTATGTTTTTGATGAGTGGAAAAGTTTAATTGGTACTCACTCGATCCAGCTAATTTTATTTTTCAATTTGAAACGCATAAGATTGCTTACTTCAAGTTCTAGCCAGCTACATTCTTTTAGAGGATCGTTATTGGAGAAAAAATGAATCCATAAATTGAGGCCAAAAGGATACCCAAATATATGTGCATCTATCTTGAAATGTGGAAGTGGATGTGGTGATCATAGAGTTGAAGGGTTACTCATATACAATGATTTTAAATAGGTTTCTGGGTGTCTTTCACGCTTATGTAGTATCTCCATTTCTGTTGTCTTTGTATGCTTGATCATCAATGGACTCCATCCTAAATGACCACACTTGAGACTAATTTAAAAAACTTAAACGATTAATTTCAATAACTCACGAGTGTGTTCTTCATTACATGACATCTGGTAACTATACTGTCGTGAGTGTGTTTAAAAACCTGCAAATGTGTTTCATTATTTGTGGATGAATATTTTCTAAACACTACTTCATTTTAAGTTAAGACACATTGTCAACCTAGACTTATGGTACAAAAAAAAAAAAAAAAACACAATATCATTGTAAAACAACCTAAATACACAAAACATATTCGAAATTATATTCTTGAACCATTGCTGATTGTTAAATGTTCTCGAATAAGAAGGATTAATGATCATTGGCTAATTACTAACATCAATGTCATTTACTCATCTTCGGCAAAACAACTACAATAATCATACAACACTCGAACAGATTGAGAAAACATGTGTATCACAACAAAATGTTACTAATATCTTGCAAGACAACACAAAGTATATATGCAAAACTTTATTTTTTGATCACAAACAAGATATTTAACCTTCTAACAAAACATCTAGAAAATGAAGATGTTACTACTCCTCATGCTCCCATCCTCCTAATCTCAACCCAGGATCATAGTTTGTGAAGAGTCGGAATTCATTCCCAAGCTTGCTGGAATGCTGTGGCCTAAATCCACATGGTTGCAATCCCAGGAGTTCACCTGCTCTTTCATGCTGCACTGCACCTGTACACATATGACAATCATCTTGTCAACAACAAGATTACAAGAATAAGCAATCAAATAATCAAGATATGGTCTGGACCTGTGAGTAAAAGCAAGAATGATTCTCCAGGCTGCTTAAGAAATCCTATCGTTTCAGAAACCTTTTCCAAGCACTCCTTGCTCTGTTTATCACAATTCACATTAAACATCACCAAAAAATTGAGATGTGTAAATGCCTAAATTGCATGTAGTAATCTGATATAAGTGAAATATTACTAGGTAAGGAGGATCTGCAATGATGATGCGGAATGAATGTTTCATTGTTGATGGGAGCTCTAACGGTTGATTGTAGTCATAGAAGGTGAATTCGTTTCCGTATTGCTTAAATCGGTTGTCATATTCAAGAAGTTGCACGGGTAAATCATGGTGCAGTTTCTAAAAACCAGATGACAAGAAGAATGATTAAGATCTTTCGTACAGAAACAGTAATTTTGGGAATTCGCTATGCATCATGACTCTAAATCAATCATATTGAAAGTCTGAATCCTCATGAATCAAAAAAATGTTCTTACACTGTTAGACATGGTATGATAAATATAAACACGATATAGGCGTACTGTTTGAATATGTTAAGGTACCTTGAGATAAACGTAGAGAGTGGGGCAAGCAATGCAAGCAATGGAAGGGGGAGAATCCATGGACGTATACAGCGCGTTAACTTCTCTCGCAACCGTCTCAGCAGTTTCCCGGTCGTACCAAAACTGGCTTAGTCTCCAATCCTCCGTGACTAACGCCACCTCTTTCTCGTCTTCCGCCACCGTCGCTCCATCGTTGTTTGCGACAAGTAAGCCGTTCTGTTCAGATAGAAACTCCTTGAGAGCTGCTAGAGTATGAGAACTTAGCATCGGAGTGTCATCGTCGCCGGCGTCGGCGACGGCGCCGGTGTTTTGGTCTATCACAGCATCCATTTTCTAGGGTTTGATGACTTTCGAGTCGTTCAGTGTTTAAACACACTACTGTTGATGGCGGTTGAGTGAATTTTCAAAAACAGCCCCTATGGATTGATGAATAACATTTACAACCTGGTGATTGGTGAGTTAAACCTTTAATCATTTTCAATGGGAGTTTTTTTTAACGGTTATTGCTGTTAACTTATTTATACTGAGCACTTATTATCATTAAAGCACCTAGTTTTTGTTCTTATTTTTATTGACCACTCAAAGTGGTCAATATAATTTAATCCTTTATACATTCAACCCCTCATTTTCTACTCATATTTTATTTTATCCCTTAAGTATATTTTAGTTTTTAATTTATTTATTTATTACAAGTTAATTAATTCTATCAAATATTTAATGATATTTTATTTATGAAATATAAATTTATAATGATAATCTTTATTAAAATAGTTTGTATTAAAATATAAATGTGGTTAAAAATGACTAACTAAATGGAGGGTATTATGTAGAACATTTTAAATAGATAAGGATAGATTAATTAAATTTAAAGAAAAAGTTATTAGGAGAGTTTAACCATTGGAGATGTCATTTAATTAAAGGTTAAAAGTAATAGGACGATGAGGTGTCAATGATATTAAGTCATAGTATAGGTAAACATTGGAGATACTCTTAGGGAAATATGCATAAAAGTCCATATATATTTTGACTTTATTGACAAAAAAAGTCATTTTTTTTTGCAATTTAACCATTAGAACCGGCTATTACTCGCAATTTGACTCAATTTTAAGATAACCGCAAACAATAACAGGTTTTGATTGTTAAGACTTGAGGTTAAAAATTATTATGCGTTGAAAAAAAAATACATATATTTTTTCCTATCGATAAAAAAACCACTATTGATATTTTGTTTACAATTTAATCATCAAAAATTGTTATGTGTTTGAGGTAAAGTGAAAATTGAGCCAAATTGCAAGTAAAAGTCGGTTCTAGTTGTTAAATTGAAAAAAAAAATAATAGCCAATTCTAGTGGTTGGGATGTATAAAAAAAACAAAAAAAACAAAAAACAAAAACAAAAACAAAAATAAAAAAAAAACAAACAAACACGATGACTTTTTTGTCAATAAAGCAAAAAAAAGGACTTTTATGCATATTTTCCTTATTATTATAAATATTAGACAAAATTGCAAAAATGGTCCTTGTGGTATGTAGTTTTTTTGGGTTTTAGTCCAAACCTCGATTTTTTTGGATTGATGGTCCTTTTGAGCTGGTTTACATGCAGTTTTGGTCCCTGTCCAAACTAAAAAGACTATTATACTCTTAATGAATTTATTTTTCATTTTTCTTTCACTTTTTAAAAATATTATTATTATTGTATATAAAATCGGACCCACCTCTCTCTCTCTCTCTCTCTAGAAACTGGTGTGCCATAGTATTTTCCCTTTCGTCATTTCTTCTTTTAACACACAACACACATACCCACCCACCACCGTTAGCCACCACTATCCGCCACCACCACCATCAATTATTTTATCTCTATCACTCTCACTCTCACTATCCCCTCTCTATCACTCTCTCACTCTATCTCTCTCTTATCCCTCATACACGCATCAAAGAAAGTAAAACTCAAGATCATCTTCTGTAACGCCCGTAGATCCGGGCTAGTCAATTTAGAGATAATAGGGGTCGAAAACGACTTTTCGACAAAAGATTATTTAGAATAAATAATCTTAACCAAGTTGTAGAATATGTCTCAAGGTTTCCGTACATATAAAGAACGCCGAAATCCGAGTTATAACGAAGAAGTTATGACTCGTCGAAGTTTTACGGCAGAACCGGCACGGCACCGGGAGACGTAAATAGTGAATTTATGATAGAGCAACTTTTAGCCTTAGAGATCTAAACGAAAGTCGTAGAAAACGTTAAACCGAGAACATACAAAAAAAAAGTACGCCCAAATCTGACTTCGTATGAGGAAGTTATGAATTTTCTAAGATTTGGCATAGCAGTGCACGACCCGAAACTCGAATTTTAGATCGAGCGGTTTTTGGCCTACGCGACCTAAAGGATAATTGAAGATCCCATTAATAGGAACTCAACGGTAAAAAGACAGACGAAAACGGAGTCCGTATGTAGAAGTTATGAATTTTACGCGGACATTTAACAGTATAATCTCCTCGTACTGTTAAATTTAAGATCGGTCGAGAATTAGCCGACGGAGTCAAAATGAAAGTTGTAGATATTATTTTTACCTACGCGTGGATATAAAGAATGTCAAAAACGGAGGTCGTATGTGAAAGTTACGGATTTTAGAAGTCGGAAGTGTGCTGTGCGAAAATGGGTGATGTGGCACAATCTTGGCCATTGCTTTCTCCCCAAGTCTTGCCACTAGATGGTGACATGTGGCACCAAGTTCAGCCATTTTTCACCCTATAAATTGAACCTCTCCCACCCTCATTTTCTTCACACATTTCCCATTCTTTCTTCTCTTTAGTCTCTCTCTAGAACCTCTCTCTAGCCCCGAAACCCCCCGAAAAGCCTAGGGAACCTCCCTAGCACGAGGCGGAAGCCCCGGAGTGCTCGACGGCTCCGAGAAGAAGAGCTTTTCGGCTCGGGAACGCTGCTCCAAGCAAAGCCCGGTTTTCTATAAAATTCGCTGTAAGTGAGCTACGCCTACGTTATTTTTAATATATCGTTTATTTAATTATAGTAGCGTTATTAGGAACTTATAATAAGTACTTGGGCTATTATTATGGGTTATATAAGTATTGTTTAACGCTTATATAATAGTAATAATAGCTAGACTATTAATTAGTCTCGGCGAATAATAGACTAAACTCTAGTGGTAATAATACTAGGTTTCGTCGAAGGAAATTATTTTTAAAAAGCGAAGCGCTGTCTGAGTTCGGATTCACCACCTTTTCAAGTGAGTGCATAGTTACTTTCATCTTACACATAGATATGAAGTATTTTAAATAAATTACGTGCTATGTGTGCATATTATCTGTATACTTGCTATCTATGCTGGATGAACGATTTTATACATGTTTTAAATGATTTAAACTGTATATATATATATATATATATATATATATATATATATATATATATATATATATATCTACGAGAATATGTTGGGTAAAACATGGATAGATGTAATAGATGGAATATGAGTTGGATGATGAGTTGAGAGGTGTTATAGACCACGAGGTAAGTGTGAGAGGTGGACGATGTGAGAAGCCTTTCCCAAATGATGGCCCCGTCATCTAGCAGAGTATGGATGACAACCACGGACTATTCTAGACAGTCCAGTGGAACACTGGCAGGCTCGCAACCTGTAGGTGTTGTGAACGATGTGTTCACCGGTGTACTCTAAAAACCCATTGACATGTATTGCGAGTGGACTCTTGAAAACGATATTGTCAATAAACGAGATAACCCTAGCAGCTGTGCTCGAAGGACAATACTGGTAGTTGCGCCTCACATAGAATGTCACAATTCTGGCAGCTGCGCCTAAGTGATAGAACTAGCAGCTGTGCTTGATAGCTGTGTCATTGACAACGATGGACTTTGTGTCGATTCCTTAGGATGATCCTTAGGAATGAATGAACGAGGAATAATTGATTCTTAGGGTAGATCCTTAAGAGTAAAGAAGATAATGGGGATGGGTAATTGGGTTGATTGTTTGATGTTTAAACATAATAATTATATTATTATGGGTTGAAAACCCTATGTACTCACCAAGTTTCCCAACCTGACCCACTCAGTTTATTTGTATCACAGGTGTCGATATGAAGTTACATTACACTGAGAGATTTAAAAGAGATGTAGATCACTAGTGTAAATGAATGTAAGTTCTGTTTATGCTTATGTTTCTGTATTAACGATGACATCTCAAATGTTTTAAAATGAATAAAAATACATTTCTTCGGAAATTCTTTGATAACGTATTTATCATGTTTTTCTGGGAACAAATTCCGCAAGATTTTTATTAAAAGAAGTACTCTGATTTTTATAAAGCATAAACAAAATCGGTCTTTTCTGGCCGTGAAAATGGGGATGTCACATCTTCATTCGGTGTTGACCGAAGATCTGACGATAATTTGGCGGCAGAAGGAAAAGAGACCGAGTGACAAACCGATCGATCGATACAAAGGGAAAGAAATCATGGGTCAAGGAAAAGGAAGTGGCTGCAAAAATTTGGCACGGACTTTAGATCTAGATGCAACTTTCTTGCGACGGTGAAGCAAACCACACCCCCCAATTCATCTTCTCCAACCAAACCCCTTGGTTGCAGCCCCAAATAGGTCTAATTTCTTCCAATTTTTTGTGGCCATGCTCCAATGTATCTAAATCCTTGCGTTAATTTGTGGTCTCGCTCATTCTTTCCTTGCTCCGGTGGTGTTGTTTGGCTCTGATGAACTTCTTCTTACCCTCCAAATCCAACACGAACCTATGGTTTCTCTGTTTCAATTTGGATTGCAGATGATGGAGATGGTGATGTGGTGCAGAAGTGTTTAGCGATGTAAGGGTGGAGATTTATCAAACACAAATTATAACATGCTTGTAAAATCAATCGACAACTAAGGTTCTTGAGGCCCACCTCACCGTCTCCTTCTTTCTTTCCCCTTCATTTGCTCCCTTTTTCCTTTCAGTCCATCGTCTTGAAGCAATGAATTGGATGGAGAATCTGATCTGGGCATTTATCATTTTCAGTTTATGAACATATTTAATGTTTTAGGGTTGCAATTGGGTGAATTGGATGGAGAATATGAACTTTGATGCAGAGAGAGAGAGAGAGAGAAGAAAGAGAGAGATGGAGATGTGGGCCCAAATTACTTATTTATTTTCTTTTTCCTTTAAATTAAATAGAAAAAATATAAAAAATATATCAGAAAGGGCATTTTAGTCTTTTCAATTTTCCGAGGGACCAAAATCACAAGCAAACATGGTCAAAATGACCACGAAGCCAAAAAAGTCGGGGTTTGGACTAAAACCCCAAAAAAATGCATACCACAGGGACCATTTTTGCAATTTTGTCTAA